GTGTTTTCTTCATGAATTATTAATGAGTTTTCTAAGTATTATTATAGTTTTTGTTGTTGTTATAAAATTATATGCTTATTCTTTTGAGGTCTTTTAAGTTCGTAATTGAAATATGATTAAAGCATTAAAGTAATTTTTGCCTTTGTTTTGTAGGGTGAACCGGATAAACTTCTGCAATATCCTACTCAGGTTTGTGTCTATAAATTTCTTTCAACAGTTTCAGTTCACATTTTTCAGTAGTACTTGATATGGGCCTTTTCACAAGTTTTAAAATTAAATATCAAAAATGTGCTTCCTTGTTGTTGTTATTGTTGTTGTTATGTCGTTGGAGTATTTCTTGCTATTTCTATTTCTATATCTAATTGCAAGAACGTTGTCATATTGAAGAAATAGAAAACGCACACGCGTGGTGTATGCAGTTATATAGACACGAGAGATGTGTTAGGAGAGGCACGAAGCGTAGTGGAGTGCTTCTCGACATTTCTCGAGTGTTCTACTAATCCCCAAGTGCTTTATAACTCCACACAGCACAGCAAGTTCTTTATTTCTTTTATAAAATACAAATTACAAAAACCGTTATTTTGAATACGAATGAGAAAATACAAAGYGTGTCCTCATGCTGTAGGCTCTCATAAAGCACGCATTCTCATCCGATCAGAATGTGAGGTTCATAACAGTTATTTTATAAAAATGATTAATTCCTACTTGTTACTTTTATAATGCTTACTATAATAAAAGGTATACCAGTTGGTTAAACACTTGATGCTTTCTTATTGTAGGAAACGCAAGAACCAGGGGTCCATCCAAGTATGAAATTCAATGTTTTCTTAGAAAATGAGGTAAATATCATGTGTCCCTTTTTACTATTGATCGAGGTCATTAATAAAATGCTAGTCGACAAGCGAGACACCGAACTTCGAGGGCCGCACTTTACAATAATGGTGGTACGTTTCGAAATGTTTTGAAGAAACAGTTTAGGTTTATAGCTCTAGAAAAGTAGAACTCCTCTCTACTGGTGCAACCAAAACTTGTGTCGCGAACAAGTTCAGAACGAAATAGTGCCTCGTAACATSTTCTTGAAACTTTCAAGGACTCTTTAAAAGCTATCGAAACCGTCTCAGAAGTGTGTCCTTGATTACTGCTTCAACATTTCAAATTTATGTGACTCAGTCAGAAACTCTATCATTTACATGAGTAGCTACATCCGCCCCAAAAATGCATGTTGAGACTCACTTTATTACATTTACTACAAGGTAAGCCTCTCACTTAAATCAGAAGCTGATCATCTCAGAATTGCGGAGGGGGAGGGGGAGGGGGGAAAGCACCCAGTAAACCATAAAAATGTGAATTTCGACCACGTGGAGTACAAAACTTGTCCACATTGTACAACATTGGCTTCACGTGTTGGACAGTTTGGAATGCACTTGCGGTTAATATAACAGACGCTACGCAGGCGATAAAAAATTCACGACTGCCTCGGTCTATAATGTACTGGGAAGAGTAGAAGCTTATTTGTTGTTGTAATCCAATATCAATAGAGGGAAAGGTTTTTGGCCACGCAAGCGAATCATGAACGCTATGAGTGGGAAGCCCAAGAGGAAGATAGCGAAGTCGAAGAGGAAAACAGAGACACTGATGAAGAAAGGGAAGAGCCAGCTCAAGAGTTACTTGCCTATGCAAGTCAAGTGGTTAGTAATAACAGTGAACTCGTCAAGGTGAATATTTTCTTATTACTAAAATTTTAAACTTTCATGGTTCTGATGTTTTCTCTTTCCTGGTTCATAGTCAGTGTTCGCTAGTGTTCATAGTCAGTGTTCGTTAGTGTTAGACCCCGTCCACACTA